CACTGTTATTCCTGGAAGTTAAGGTCTCCTACGGAAGCACACCTCTTAAGCTGACAACCTCACTCCCCACCAACCCACTCCAATAAAACCTCATGAAGTTCAGAATTCTATTTCTTAAGACCATTGCTCCCCCTGGTTTATACTGGGTAATCATAGATTATTTCTACCCTAAAGTGTAAGCAAGTCCTTTAACCTATCAAGTACACCATCATCTTTGTCCCTTTGTAATAGGGAAGAACCTTTGTATTCTAAGTTAATCACTAAAGGGATGTTGCCTATAAGCTTAAATTATACATAATGACCCATCACTGGGAACCCTGCCTCCCAGGTAATGAGCATTAATCTAAAATACCTTTGTTTAGCTCACAGGAAACATCCTGCCAGGCCCACCTGTGAATGACTGCAGGGAGGAAGAAATTAACACATTCCCCTCTGGAGGCTGATGGGAACCAGGAAGTGTTTGATTTTACTCCCTCCCCTTTTAATATAAAAGAAGCCTGAATTCTAACTCAGGCAAGATGGTCCTTTGGGACACTGGTCCACCATCTTCTTGTTTGGCTGGCTTTCCGAATAAAGTTGGTGTTCCTTGCCCCAACAACTTGTCTCTCGATTTATTGGCCTGCTGTGCAGCACGCTGTACAATCTTGGACTTGGTAACACCTCCAACTATTTTTATTTTGAAAAATGTTAACCTTTGGAAAAAAGACTTGCTGAATGATTTGAATAATAGTATTTTAATGTGTTATTAAAACAGTGACTATGTATGTTAATAATGCTTCAACAAACTTGAATTAGACAAAAATGTGACTAATATTTGCTGGGTGTTTTGTAGAGACCACCCTGTACAAGAGCATTACATGCATATTTCATTTAGTCAAATAGCTCTCTGAAATTAGAAATAGTAACAGTTCCATTTTTACAAATGAGGAAACTGAGCCCTAGAGAACTTAAAGATCACACCCTTAGTAAGATGCAGAATTCAAACCTCCATGACTAATTCCAGAACCCTGGCTTACAGTTTACTATACCTGTTAAAATACATGTCAACATAATAACTAAATGCAGTGTGTGAACCTTGATTGGATCCTAGATGGTGGAAATCAAAGCAGCAAAAAAGACATTTGGGGGACAATTTGGAATTTTTTTGCAAATATGGAATTACTATTAGTTTTCTTAAGTGTAATAATATAATTGTAGTTAGGTAGGAAAATGTCTTTATTTTTAGCAATGAAGTATTTAGGAATGAAGTTTCATTATGTCCTCAACCTACTTTCAAATGCTTCAGTTAAAAAATGTGTGACACACACACAAGCATGCACCCTCACACAGAGCAACTAACTGTTGGCATAATGTTAACCACTGTTGAATCAATGTGAAGGGTACCTGGATGTTCACTGTACTAGTCTTTCAACATTTCCCTAGGTTTGAAATTTTTTTAAATAAAATGTTGGGGGAAATGAACATTTAGACAAGCCTCTTAAATAATTCATAGAATCTCAGGAAATTTTAAAGATTTAAAATTTTCATGAGATTTTAAAGATCAAGTGGAGTCTTACACCATCTTTTCCTTTGCTGCTACTTAAATGATTTTATTTCACCAACGGTATAAACAAGATTACACCCTACACAATGTACAAATAAGCATTAAAAACTATGAAAGTGTATGTATTGTAGTATCAGCATAGGGACTGGTATTAACAGAAAATTTTACTTTCCTTACAGTTTTACAACGATCGTGTATTTTCAGAAAAATGTCATAAAATTTTCAATTCCACTTAAAAAAAGGAGAGAGAGAGAAAGCCCTAAAAATTCCTTATTGCCTCCTGTCCCTCTGGTGAAAACTGTATGTCCTGGAAATCAGTCTTTATTCTGTTCGTGTCCCTCTGCAGGTGGAATTTTGAGCTGTAAATAGGAACTTGGGATTCCACCGCTTTTTCTGTGCACGGAGCTGTGCTGCAAACAATAATTAAGCACGACCGAGAAAAGTTAATGTTTTACAAAGAAGTAAGTGGCGGCCAAAAACAGTTCGATTCTTGGATTTGGAACGCATCCTTTGGTGCCCAAATCTCCGGCCAACCTAGAACGCGAGCGCAGGTTACGGGATCCCCAGGCACAGCAGCGTTCCCAGAGACAGCGGCGGCCGGAGGCTGGCCTTCAGGGAGTATAACGTCCCCCGACTCCTCGGCCATTCCGGATCTAGGTGTCGGGGCATCTGCCAATAGTAAGCGAGAGGCGAGGCCAGTCCATCCTGCCCTCTCTGCCAATCGGGAGCGAGGGGGCGGGTCCGGGAAGGCTGCTGGCCGTGGAGCCCTGGAGCGAGGAAGAGGGGTCCGCCCTCTGCGCCTCGGCTAATTGAAAGCGAGGGGCGGGTCCCGGGGCGGGTCCCGGAAGGCGGTGCCAGGCGCAGGTGCGAAGACTGGGCGGTAGGGCTGCGGCCTCCGCCGGCGGGCAGTATGGAAGACGTGAGTGCGCGGATGCTGGTGGCGAGCGACAGGCCCGGAGCCCACTCTTCCGGTGCTGGGCGCGCTGGGCGGAGATGGGGGTGGGGGCATCCCTGGCCAGAGGAGCGCCTACTGCGCGGGGCTGCCCGGGCGCGGGGCTGTGGGAGGAGGCACCGGGGCGGCGTCGGGGTCCGGGGCGGTGTCGGAGTCCACGCCGGCCCCGGGCTTATTTTCCGGGCAGAAGGCCGGGCGCGCGCCAGCCCCGTGCGGGCGCGTGTCGGGTCACGGAACTGGGGCGACCCGAGGTGAGCGCGGGGCCCCGGGCGCTGGGTCGCTCGGACGCCCTGGCGTAGGGGCGAGTCCCCGTCCTCTTGGGTCCCGGCCTTGGCCCTGAGGGCTGTGACTTGGAGCGGCTGCGGCAGACCTGTCGTTATCATCACTCGAAAACCCACATTAGAGAAAAACAATGTCGTGGTATTTTGAATCGAAGCATGGTAGGAGTGAAGGGATTTTTAAATCTCTTTACTTAGATGGATCCAAACCAGATTATTAAAAAACCAGTGCACTAGTTACAGTGTATATAGTGTACAGAGTGAAGAGAAATTGCAAAAATCTTTGCTTAAATGTATTAAAACATTTTTAGGAAAAGCATGTATTTGTGCCCCAAATTAACTGGGTTACCCATTGGCACAAAATTCTTGCTCTTGAAAAATGCAAAGTTGATAGTTATATTAAAGCACTGATTTGAGTTAATTAATAGGAATATTACTGTGATCCTACCACTGAATGAGGTGCATCAGGCAAGACACATGAAACACAGTTCCAGCCCTACACAAGACCTTAGATTCTTGTGCAAATAGTGACTATAGTTCAGTTATCTTGACTAAATAAAGACCGAACAATTTCTAATGATAAGACTAAAAAATTCTATTTTTTTTTTCAGTTGAGAACGTGGAAAGCTAACTGTAACACCTGGAAGTAGATTTGAGACTCATATATATTTAAAGAAAAACTGTTTGTTTCTAAATTTTTTAAGAGTGAGATTCATGAACTGACAATGTGTGGAGAAAATGAGTAAGAGGAAAATTAGAGACTCATCAAAATGTGTGCAGTAAATGCTTCTTGGTTGGTGCTAAGCTGCCCCAGGGTTCTTGGGTCTGTAGCTTTTAGCGTTAGGATTAGTACAACCCTAGAAATTTGTTTCACCAAACAGTTGGAGAGTAATGTTTCACCAATAACTACATAGCTTTAGATCTGAGCAAGTCGCCTGCTTTTGGTATTTTGTGGATATGGTTTCTGCCACTCAGTAGAAAGCTAAAAACTGTGTGCCATGTCTTAGGCCCAGACACCTAAATGAGTTAAAAGAGGCAAAGGCTTTTTAGTTAACGGTTCTTTGTTTGCAAGTGGGTGAACCAACTGTGGCTACTTTAAGGAAGAAAGGGATTTATTTGAAAGGATATAGGGTAGATGAACACCTAGGCTTCTGAAAGGAACCAAACAAGGGCAGCTCAAGGGATCCAGAGACAGGGGTCCTTTCAGAATCTGCCCTGGGATGGATCGCCTCAACCATGGACTCCGTTTGCTTTGCTGCTCTGAGAGAGAGTTGGATTGGCCCAGCCCTTTCTGGTTCCATGACCACCCCAGGACAGAGGAGGGTGAAGAGCATCAAAGGATGTTCCCCTTGAGACTTAATGCAGAGGTAGACATTGGGTCCCCAAAGGAAGTAGCTATTGTCACAAAAGAAGAGGGAGGAGATGGTGTGGAAAAAACAACAGCTATCTTCACTTGCAGATGGTGAGTTCCAGAGGATGCTGTTTGTATGGTTTTCCCACATTTCCTATAGGCTCCAAAGGGCAGTGTATTTGATGTAGTCACCAAATACATTGTATTTCATGAACATTGAAAAAGTGACATAGAAACCATATTGTCCCCAGCCCCTTCAGTGTAGTCAGGGAAAACAAAAGGCATACACATAAAGGAAGCAATACAAGGCAGCATAAGAAATATTCCAAATTAATATTATGGGCAGTAATTTTTTAGGAGTTTTAAAGTAGAAAGAAAACACTTGGCAGGACAAGTTTTATAGAGAATATAAGTTTTGGTTGGACTTCGAAAGATGAGTTGGATTCTGAAAAAGATAAGAGAGGATATTTGTGGGGCATTCCAGAAAGCTCACACAGGCTAGAGGAGAAGGTGCATGAAAGGGAACGAGTGGGAGATAAAGTAGACTATTGTCTTACAGTCAGGGTTTCAATGCTACCTTTTAAAAAGTTCCCAGATCCCAACTGTTCAAGAAGTTGGGCCGTCTTTCATTCACTCAACACACATATTGAGTACCTGCTGTGTATCAGGTACTAAAGGTACAAAGAACATAGTATAATGTAGAGTCCTGCCCTTGTGAAGCACACCTTATTCGAACCACTTTGATACCTTGTCCTTCCTTATGCCTGAAAGAACCAAAAACCTGTATATAATATATGAAAAAACAGGCGCGGCCGCCCCCGGAAGTGGACTTCGCCTGCCAAAATCGGTTTCACGGGGAAGGTTATCAGGAAGGCTATGAAGAAGGAAGTAGCTTGGGTATGATTGAAGGAAGACAGTATGGCACGTTACATGGAGCTAGAATCGGATATGAGGTCGGGTGCTACCAGGTTTTGCTTTTGCTTGGAGATGCCTGCTGCACGGCTACGCCACTGAGAAAGACAGCAAAAAGATGAAGGTCTTAGAATCGTTGATTGGAATGATTCAGAAATTCTCTTATGATGACCCTACTTATGATAAACTTCATGAAGACTTAGAGACAATTAGAGGGAAATTTAAGCAGCTTTGTTCATGACTAAACGTCCAGCTTGACTTTAAAACTAGTGCAGCAGGTTCTGGACTTTCATTTTGAGGATGACAGACGCACAAAGGTAAAACATCAGGGAACAGATGTTCTTTTGTCAAGTGTTTAAAAATGTGATTAAAGGCAAAACAGTGATGGGGGATTCATTGTTTTGCAGGGCAGGTTCCAGCTTGGCTGGTGAAAGGGCTTCCTTCCCCCGAGGTCTGCCGGGTAGCCTCGGTGCTCCCCACGGGCCCCCTCCACATAGGCCTGTCCTTTGTTGGGCCCTGTCTGCTCTGCAGCGTGAACGCGGCCCTGGCAGAGCCCTCACCATTCTGCTCTTCTCTGGTCCAGGGTCCAGGCCCCTGGCTCACGGGTTCTCGTCACCTGGCAGGCCTGGCTGGATCTAGACTCAGGTTGGCTCTGGATAGGATAAACCTCCCCTTTACCCCCCAGGCTTTGGTCAGTGCTCAGAGGGACAGTTTTTTTTAAAATGAGAGCCACAGGGTTGGCACGAAGCAGGTTAATGGGAAGGAGTGATGGGTACTGTGACATTTATTGACCCTTGAGATGTGCCAGTGCTGTGACCTGCTTCTCATGTTTGATTTAGTCCCTTCAAGAGCCCATGAGGTAGGCGTTATTCCCATTTTATAGACAAGGAAACTCAGGCCCAAGAGACTGCCTGGTCCAAGGGCAGTGGGCGGCAGAGCTGGAACTCCAGCCCTGTCTCCTGCTGCCTGCTCTGGAATGCATGGTTGCACCCACAGTCTCGGGGTCCCTGCCTGCAAGTCCCCACTATGCCCCGTGGAGCCCTGGGGCATCTCATGTGGCCATGGGTGTGGGCATCTGGCTGAGAGGAGGAGAGGCCAGCCCTGTCCCCAGGGAGCCGGGACGTGCTCTTCCTGTGTCCCCGGGTGGGTGGGGATCTGCAGTATCAAAAATGGTCAAGGGGAGGAGACTTTAGGGTCACTGCTCTATGTGCAGAAACTTTGGAGCCTTACTGCAGCCTCCTTCTAGTGTGAGTTCTTCTGTCTTCTGCCGGGACTTAAAAGGCATCATCTGTACATGGTGCATGGCCTCAGGTGCGCCTTTGTCACAGACACCAGCAGCGCTTATCTCTGGCTGGTGGGATGGAGGGGCTTTTGTTGTTGTTTTTCTGGGTGATTTTTTGTGCTTCCTAAGCTATCTGTTTGGAAGATGTATTATTTTTATAATTGGAGAAAAAATAAAGAGTATATTTTAAAGCAAAAAAGCCCCCCAAAATGAAACAAAACAAAAAATACATGAAAAAATACTTGTTGAGATCATAGACATCAGGCGATGAAGGACAGTGATCTTGGAGAGATGGGAAGCAAATGACGTGAGCCATATGATTGCCCCAACTCACTTCCTTGAGAGAGTTTTCGGGGTGGGCAGAGGAAGGGGGACCAAGTGGGGCTTCAGTAGACCCCGAGTTGAGGAAATGGAGCTGAATCTGGGGATACCGAAGCAGCTGGAGTTCACAAGACAGAGAACCCAGAAAGGAGAGCGCTGCGCAGAGGGAGAGCTCGGAAGAGGTGCAGAGTCCCCTCAGGTATTCAGCTGAGTCCTGTTCTTCATGCCTCTGAGGAAACTCCCTGAGGACTGGGAAAATAACCACTCAGAAAGACCAGAGGGAGCAGTACTGTCATGCAGGGCCAGGAGTAGGGCCTGTTCTTCCAGCCAGACTGGAAACCTCATAATCACAGGGTATTAGGTTTTCAGAAGGGTCTTGCCTCACTTGTGGGGAATAATTAGCACTAGACCAAACATGGTATGGTCCCACCTAAGAAAGCCCCTTAAAAGAAAGACCAAAAAGATCAAGTGACGTAACTGAATCCCAGAACAAAGCTCAATAATATAGGAATACAAAAATGTCCAGCACCCAAAGAGGTAAATTTTGCAATGTCTGGCCTCCAGTCCAGAATTACCAGGCACTGCTAATTATGTGATGTAGTGGAGGTGTTAGGTAATGATATGGTGGTAATCATTTTCCAGTATATAAGTGTATCAAATCAACTCATGGTATGCAAACTTACACAATGTGACATGTTAATTATATCTCAATAAAGTGGAAAAAATGATCAAGCATGCAAAGAGGCAGGGAAATACGACATAACGAGTCAATTAAAACTGATTCAAAAATGACATGCTAGAAATAGCAAACAAGGACATTTAAAAAAATTATAACTTTTCTATATGTTCCAAAGGTTAAAAAGACACAGGGGAGATATAAAATAAACCCACTCAAACTTGCAGAAATAAAAACTACAATGTCAGATGAAAAAGGAACAGCACTGAGGCATCAGAGAAGGCAGCATTTTTGCTAAGACAGACACTTGACAGGTGGGGAGGGATGAAGAGGCACAGAGACTGGAAGGATGGCCTGGAGAGATTCATGGACATTAGTTAAGGGAAGAGCCGTAGAGGTGGGACAGCCTCTAACTGAGAAAGCTAGAAGCAGAGGAGTCTTGAAGAGAATAGAAATCATCAGAATTGCTCCATGAGGTATGGCAAACTAAACAGGAAGCTATCTAGGCATTGAATTTAAAAAATTGCAGCAGCATTGAATGCCTGGGAGTGGAAATTGAGAAGCCCATTCCAGATCTGATCATTTCCCAGATTGCTGTGTTATCTTTATAATCCTGGTGCACAGCAGCCTGCCCTTACACCATTGGTCCCCCTCTCTACCCCTTCCAAAGTGAAGAGCCCATATCCTCTGTCTCCAAATCCAATTCTCAGACTTCCCCTTTTCCCACTAAATTTTCATTTCCCTCTTGTTCTAGTGCAATTATCTAACCTAAATTTTTTGCATCATTTGTACTATTCATTTGCTAATTTATTATGTACTGCCCCATAATATGCCACACACTATATTCTATTGTGCATTCTTATATTGTTCAGTCCTGCATGCCTTTATCCTAACCTCCCCGATGAAAATGTAATCTCCTTTTGAATAGGGACTGTGTCTTACATTCTTTTATCTCAGGAACAGTGCCTTATATGTAACAGTTTTCAGTGAGGCTCTGAGACTGAGAGATTGTTTTATGCACCAGATACCTAAGATGCTGTTCCTGTCAAGACCCTAACTTTAAACATGACTAACAAGATTTTGAGGTTGCAGCTCAGCCTTTGCTGGCTACTTCAGTGACATTGCAACTAGTTGTTTTCATTGAGAATCTGGTATCTACAAACTGAAATCTCCAGGGTCTATCAGGGTGATCTGTTTCTATTAACACTCTTAACATATTTCTCTCATGATTGAAAGTTTGTTTAAGACCTCTTAGTAATGCCTCAACCAGCTTTCCAAAATTTTGTGGAACACCGAGATATAGTTTAAGAATTGCAATCATATGTAATTTTTATCAATAATATAAATAATGTTGGGGACTACCCTGGTGGTCCAGTGGTTAAAACTGCGCTTCCCACTGCAGAGGTCACAGGTTTGATCCCTGGTAAGGGAACTAAGATCCCACATGCTGCACAGCACAGCCAGAAATGTAAATATGTGTGTGTGTGTGTGTGTGTGTGTGTGTGTGTGTGTATAATGTTAAATAAATCAATATCTAAGTTTTGAGGGCTTGAAGAAAATTATTTCAGATTAATGAGATTAATAATTGATAATTAATGAGATTATTTATACATAATCTCATTATGTCTTACCTCATTTGGAGATAAAGAATTAAGATTTCTTCTACTTGTTTTAATAATTGTTTTTACCAGTTTACAGTAGTCATCAAGAAGTTTATGGTATTTTTTTAAAATTGGCTTTAGGTAGGGAGTGTGTTTTCTTGCCTATAATTTGTGTAATGAATTTTAAAGCTTTATAGTTTAGTAGATTTGTCTTGGAAACATAATCCAAAGAGTGGTGATTATAACTTGCTTTTTTCTGCACCTCAGGGTTCCTTGGATCTCATCCAAAGTATTGAAGATGACCCCCTTCTGGACAGCCATCATCTCCCACATCACTCATTACACACTCATTTTAGGCCCAGATTCCAGCCTCTTCCTACAGTCATCATTGCAAATCTTCTCTTGTTGATACATGTAAGTTGACTGGGAGAAAGTGATCCATCCAAAGGTGATGTTTTTCAAAAATTTATAACCTCTTCAGAGGGCAGTTTGGCTATATCTATTAACATTTAAAGTGTGCATACTTTTTTACTCATATCTCTACTTCAAATAATTTATTGTAGACATATTTGCACACATGTAAGGATATCATTTATGATAGCAGTGTTGTCTGTAATATGAGGAAACTACAAACTGCCACCATCCAGAAGATGCTTTGTATGTCCTGTCCATATGAAGGAATGCTTATACAATATTAAAAGAGAAACTTAGAAGAGAAACCTGGGGTGGATGTGTACCCTTCACGGTTCATTGTTGAATGGAAAAAAATGAGGTTTACAGTGGTGTGTACAGAATGTTCCTGTTTGTACATTTTAAAAGGGTGTTGAGAGAAATGTGTATATGGGTGATGTTGTGACTTATAAGAAATATATTTGGTCATTCAGATGATCAAAATATAGTTCTCATATGTCTTTGGTCTTCATCCATGGTTTCTGGCTCATAGCTCCCAAAACCCTTGGAATTTCCTGATAAGAGCAATGGGAGCATCTTTTGTTATAATTTTTGGTCTTTTGTCCTCAGTCCCTTCAAAGTCATAAAGGTGAAATGGGTGTCTTGATATTCATAACAACCCCTTTCCACCACTGCTGTATTTATGTTGGTGAGGTGACTTTGGAAAGCACCTAAGGATGGGGGCTGTTGCCAGGGGAACCAAGCAGGAACAAAGGGTTGGAACTTTCAGTCCCACGCCCTGGCCTCTGGGGATGGGAAAGGTGCTGCAGGTTAAATCATGCACCAATGGCCAATGATTTAATCAACCAGGCCTATGTAATGAAGCCTCCATAAAGACCCAAAAGGAGGGGTTTCAGAGAGCTTCCAGGTTGGTGAGCTAGAACACTTGTTATGAACCACTGCCAGGCCCCCAGACTCTACCAGGACAGAAGCTCCTTTGTTTAGGAACTGGCAGGAAGTATGTCTTCATCGGGCTATTGATTTGTATCTTTTAATATCCTTTGTAATAAATTGGTAATGTGGTGAGTAAACAGGTTTCCTGAGTTCTGTGAGCCAGTCTGGCAAACTAATTGAACCCAAGAAGGAGTTGATGGGAACCTCTGATTTATAGCCTGTCAGTCAGAAGTGCAGGTAACAACCTGGATTTGCAGGTGGTATCTAAAGTCCAAGGAGGGGGTTGTGGGAACCTCTGATTTGTAGCCAGTGGGTAAGAAGCACTGGTGACAACTTGGACTTGCAGTTAGCATCTGAAGTGAGGGCAGTCTTGTGGGACTGAGCCTTCAACCCATGGGATCTGATGCTCTCTCCAGGTAGTGTCAGAACTGAGTTGAGCTGTCTTCACCAAGACACCCATTTCACCAGTTGAGCTCCCAGTTGGTGTCAGAGATTTGCCGCCCGCCTCCGCCGTCCCCTCCCCCCCACAAACACATTGGAATTGGTACTGGAAACTTTTAACGTTTATTCCTGTATTCTGTAATAGAATTATTTCCAGAAGCATTCACAAGACCCATTTTTTAATTTTTTTTTTTTTTGCTCTACGCGGACCTCTCACTGCTGCGGCCTCTCCCGCTGCGGAGCACAGGCTCCGGACGCGCAGGCTCAGCGGCCATGGCTCACGGGCGCAGCCGCTCCGGGGCATGTAGGATCCCCCCGGACCGGGGCATGAACCCGTGTCCCCTGCATCGGCAGGCGGACTCCCAACCACTGCGCCTCCAGGGAAGCCCCACAAGACCCTTTTAATGCTAGTTGCACTGAGTGCCTCAATGGAAGGGACACCTAGTATATTTTAATGTTTACTTTTTGTACTATTTGAATTTTTTTATCATATGCATGTATTTTTCAGTTATAAAAACAAAAAAAGATACAAATAAATCTATATATGTTGACATGGAAATTTATCTATTTATTTATACCTAGGAAATAGTGTTAAGCAGAGAAATCAGTGTACTGTTGCCCCATGTTTTATATGATAAAATTACAAATGTCTGGGGATTTTTTAAAATGTGTGTTGCAACCACTGATTTTTAAAAATCAGTGTACTGTTGCCCCATGTTTTATATGATAAAATTACAAATGTTTGGGGATTTTTAAAAATGTGTGTTGCAACCACTAGATAAATAAATCCAGGAGATCTAATGCATAGCATAGTGATTATAGTCAACACTAATATTATAAATTTCAAAGTTGCTAGGAGACTAGATATCTTAATTGCTCTCACCACAAAAAAGAAATGGTAATTATGTGACATGATACAGGTGTTGGCTAAAGCTACGGTGGCCATCATTTTGCAATATACAAATGTTTCAAATCAACACATTGCACACCTTAAACTTATACAGTGTTATGTCAATTATATCCCTCAATAAAAATAAATAAATAAAGTTCAGTGTCATAAAAACAAAACAAGACACATGTATGAATGGTCTTGTAGGCTTACTGGGGGCTCTGCTCCAAGTCTGTTAATTATTTCCTCATTTTGGTTACTGCAGTCTCAAACACTAGGGGCTGTAGTTCTTTGCGGCAATGTGAAAGATCAAAAGAAGGCAGATTCTCGCCGCTCCTTGGGTGTTCATGAGGAGGGTGGATGTGGTTGAGGACTGGCCCAGCTGCTGCTCCAGTGAGGTGCACTGTGGAAGACTTGCACTCAGAACTGAGTGCATTGAGGACAGAGGTGCACCTGTTTTCCTCATGTAGATCTAGTAAGTGGCCTGATTCTGCCATGGCTTCCTGATCCCCAAATAGCAGCTGAAGCGCTTTTTTCCTTGTGCCTCTTTGTATTGATATAATTTATAAATTATATAATTATAAATTATATAAAGAGTATAACATACTCTTTATGTATGTACAGTACACACACACACCACTTAAAAAAAACTTTACGTTAAATTGCCTGCCTTCGATACTGTGGGATTGATTGCCCTAATTTTAGGACTAAGAAAATCTTATGTTAAAGAACAAGAAAAACTAATGTCTTTATATACTACTTTGTATAAAATGGATCAGTTGGGTTCAATGTACAGTATATTACAGTAAAGGGAATATGTTGACTTTTCCACTTTTGCTTTATGAGGATGTGCATCTTGAGCTGCTATAGCAAATATTACTGCTCTTGACAAACCACATAAATTTTAAATAGATTTATTACATGCTAAGATTGGCTGCTATTGGATGCTTGGTGATGGATGCTAATAACAGCATTTAAAATTTTCTTTGATTTTTTTAAAAATTATAGAATAATACTGCCTTATGGTTAACAAGTAAAACATTACCAGAGTATACAAAGATATAATCTTCCCTTTTCTCTGCTTCACCCCTTCTCCCTGAGTTAATAAATGGGGTCAGTTCACTGTATCTCTTTCAGTGTCTTTTGTTAAGTTCATACAAATGTATACAAAAAGATTACCACGTTATAAAAGGATGTCCCCCATTTCCAAAAAAGAAAAAAATTGGATAATACGGTATTTATTACTCATCAGCAGTGTTCCTCAAACTTGAGCATGCACCAGATACCCTGGCAGGCTTATTACACTACAGGCTGCTGGCCACACCCCCAGAAATTTTGATTTGGGGCCTGAAAATTTACATTTCTAACTGGTCTGGAGATCACACTTTGAACTACTACTTTACACCATACTTTCTTTAATCTTAACATATCATAGATATCCACCCAAACTAATACATAGAGCTTTAGTTAATTCTTTTTTTTTTTTTTTTTTTGTCTGTGTTGGGTCTTTGTTGCTGCACTTGGGCTTTCTCTAGTTGTGACGAGAGTGGGGGCTACTCTTCATTGTGGTGCACGGGCTTCTCATTGTGGTGGCTTCTTTTGTTGTTGAGCACCGGGCTCTAGGCATTTGGGTTTCAGTAGTTGTGGCACCAGGGCTCAGTAGTTGTGGCTCATGGGCTCTAGAGCACAGGCTCAGTAGTTGTGGCACACAGGCTTAGTTGCTCCATAGCATGTGGGATCTTCCCAGACCAGGAATTGAACCCATGTCCCCTGCATTGGCAGGAGGATTCTTAACCACTGTGCCACCAGAGAAGTTGCCTAGTTCTTTTATAGCTGAATAACATTCTATTATGTGAGTGGGTATACCTTAATTTATTCAAATATTCTGCTATGGATGCATACATATACTTGGGCAATTTACAGTTTTTTTTCAAATACAGAGAACGCTGCAGTAAATACATGTGTCCATATATCCTAGGTACTGTGCTTTTACTTCTGAGTGATAGGGTCCTAAGGTAGGATTTCTGGGTCAAGATATTTCCAAATTATTTTTCAGCAGCACTTCCCAGACCAGTCAGCATTTTATGAGACTGTCTGTTTGCCCATATGTTGACATCAATCTTTTAAATTTTTGTCAATCTAATTGGATAGTTGTTCTCTTAAAACTGAAGCTAGAAATAAACTTTTTTAATTCACGATTTTTATTAGTTTTGAGGTGCTAAATTAACTGTTTTTACTCTGTTTAATAAAAGAGAAGTGGGCAGGAAATTGAATTAACATTAAGTACTCATCTTTGTTAGATGGGATTTGGGGTGATTTTTATTTTCTTATTTGTGATTTTATCTGTTTCCCAAATTTTCTGCAAATTTTTCTCCAGATTATCTGTTTAAAAAGTTTGTAAAAATGGCAAAAAATAAAGTATTTTTAAACTCAAAAAAGTAGGATACTGAAAGTCATAGGTATAAGAATATGTGCTGGGGATGGTCATTATTGTTTCTTAAATCCAAATATTGAATATTAATTCTACTGTTTTCCTTTCCACCAGATTGTGTTTGTTGTTTTAGCATTTTTAACAGGTGTGCTTTGTTCTTACCCCAATCCAATTGAGGACAAGTGCCCAGGAAACTATACGAACCCATTGAAAGTTCAGACAGTCATAATACTTGGAAAAGTTATTTTGTGGATTCTGCATTTCCTCCTTGAACAATACATCCAGTATCACCACAGCAAAGTAAGAAACCGAGGCTATAACAAGATCTACCGGTCAACAAGGCATCTTAAAAGCCTTGCGCTGATGATACACTCCACTGGTAAGCCCAGTTGTCTCACTCATCTATTCGGCGGCTTGCTTGAATGTAATAAATGACAGCAGAAAGAAAATGTTAAGTTTGATTTTATAATCAAATACATGCTCTCATTTTTGTGAGAGTGATGTGGCCACTAAAATTAGGATCACCTTAATGTCTTGAAGTTTTTCTTATATTTCCCTTTGAAATCTGTATTTGTTATGTAAGGGAGGAAAAATATTCCCTCTGCCCTTCTAGGTTCTTGCCTGAGATTCCACCAATAAAGGACAGATTAACAGGAGAAAAACGAATAGAAGTTTAATAACATTATACCTCCTGTATACATGGGAGAGACCCAGGAAAGCAGAGTAACTCCACAATGGCCTAAGCCACCCTCTTAAATAATATCTCCAGCTAAAGAACAAAGAAGATGGGGAGGGTTGGGGGAGGGGCGATAGTTCTGGGAGGTGACCAGGAAAAGCACAGTAAACAAGGGTAAGTTTGTTATGCTTGCCTTCTGCATTGATTAGAGTTTCTAGAGATTTAGAGTCATCCTGGTACAGAGAGGGATATAACCTTACAAATGGAGATTTCCCTTATAATTGTAGATGTCTCTTATAAAAGGTAATGGTTTTCAGAGCTTCATCTGTGTCTGCCGTTTCTTAAAAATAATCAGCTTAAGATAATCCTTAAGACAAAGGAGGCATATTTTGGGGTAGTATTTTCTGTCCCCTTCATTATAAGCAAGGTACCCCTGTGTGAAATGTGGACTTTTTCCCCCTTTTGATACTAGCAGACTTACTCATCTCAAGGAGATATACAGCTGATGCTAGTTGATACTTGTAGGATAAGAGGGGATTGTTTTATTTTAAATGAAGCTCGGTGCTTTTCCCGCAGTAAGAGAAAGACTGTTATATAATAAGATGTATTACTAAAACAGAAAACCTGGAAAACAATTTATGAAGGCAAGGTCAGGAAGTCTATCCAGGATGCAGACAATTTAAAGGCTTAATGGAATTAAATTGAACTTCTTTAGGTATTTCTGCCTAATTGTCAAGGTTTCTACCTTTTCTAAAAAGCCCTCTTTTTCAATTTGAGTCCAGAATAAATGTTTGAACATTTTGAAACCAAATTAGAAATTAATTTTTCCCCAGAAAAACAGCTCTACAGAATTTAATGTTATTCCCATGTTCTGGTAGTGCATTTTCTTAAAGGGCAGGCTGTGAGTTCATCTGCTCAGCGAGGTTGTCAATGGGAGTGGGAGGGCCCAGCGGTTGCAGAGAAAGAAGCATTGTATTGGAGTGGCTGGTCTTGAAGCACCTCCAAGGCGCGGCCTTTACTGCCCCCAGAGGAAGAGTGCAGTTTCTACTTCTAGTGCTGATTGCAGTACTTGTTTTTGGCCAGAAGATGTCCCTATAATCTTTGCGCCTCTGACAAAGAGACCAGCAGAAACCTATTTGTATACTGACCAAAATAATGTTCAGTTTCTCCACTGATGGTTTGGAAATAGTATTTTTGAGGCCCACCAAGAGATTGTCTAATCTTTGCCTTTCCTCTGACTTTCAAATTATTGCTACACATGTGACCCTTAATCACAGTCTGTTTCTAAACAATTGGACCCTCAGTTTAATCACAGATGGCATCACTTTTAAGTTACTCATATAAGTACCCAGAAAATCCAGGAGAACTGGGGCAGATGTTTACTTTGTTTCTATTTTCTTTAAATATTTTTTTCTTATTTGAAGAAAAAGAAGGTAAATCTATGAAGATATAGAACTTCCAGCTAATCCGAAGGGTGTAACCATTCTTTTTTTTTTTTTTTGCCTGTGATGGTATTGCCGGGTATTGTCTGGCTTCATCCTGATGCTTGTTATTCTCTGCAGAGAGAAAAATAAATTGATTTTACTTTATTTTGTGGAGATGGGAGAAGGGGCTTTGCTTTCCTTCCAAATAAGTTGAAAATATTTATCTGATTTATCTGTTCTCCTTCGTTAGATCGAAATACATCCTGAACTCTATCAAATGTTATTAGCTGCATAGCAAGTTGCATATTTGTTCTTTTCATTGAAGCGAAAACTTGACCCTTGGAGACATGGTGCTGGGCAGGGTGCTCTCATGATGTCCACAGTGCTTATCATTCAGGGAAATGTCTTACTTTTGCAGTCTCTGCTGCCAGCCTGCAAGTTCACCCTGTGACCTGCCACACTGCTGACACAGGCCTTGCTCAGGGCATCAGAAATCCTCTGGAAACTGTGTGTTCACTCTCCCTGCAGAGGTTTTTCCCTAGTTTTTTCCTCTCCCTAAAGCTGTAAAGTTATATTTGTCTTGTACACAAAACCAATTCATAAATTGAGCTATTGGTCAACATGCTAAGACACTGACATTTATGAGTGCAAGGGGAGGGCATAGGGATTTGTGCTGGACCATTGCTTTGTGTAGAGGGACTTCTGATAGGTTATTTAAACAGGGTTCTTTGGCTCATAGTCATCCCTTTGTACCAAGAAGCAGAAGGTAAATCAAATGAGCATCTCCCCAGCCTTGATCAGACTTGGATAAATATGTTAGTTTTAGGTAATTCTAAGATAAAACATTACAGGAATGACTTCTGCCCCTAAACTTTTCTTTGACAGTCTTCAGACTGTAAGTGCAGAATGAGTTTTAAATGGTTTTCAAAAATAAATAATGGATATGCTGAGCAGGGGGGAAACAGCTCATATTTATTGTCAGCCCATTTTTCAGACAAGGAGTGGAGGTGTTAGGTCATCTGTCCAAGGTCAGCAGCGTGTCCCCGGTTTTTTTCTGGATACTCGCCGCGTCCTTTACTGTGCTGCATGACCAGAAGGGGCCACCGGGTCCTCGTAGAAACTCATTCCTTGAGTTTTAAAAAAGTCCAGATTCTTACGTATTTGTGTCATGAGGCATCATTTGCTCTTAGCCGTGTTGCGTTTGATTTCCATCGTCTACCTTCCTTCGTCGCCGCGTAGCTGGGTGGGTGCCCGCGCCCTCGCGGTACCCCTGCGGGGGCTGCGGCCGGGGCGGTGGCGCGGGCTCCGGGACTCCGCCCCACCCACGCAAGCACGCTGCGTCTCCTCCCCGCAGGCAACACGGCGCTACTCCTCCTGCTCTGCTTGCAGCACTCCTTCCCCGAGCCCAGTGCGCTGTACCTGGACCTCATTCTGGCCACCCTGGCCGTGGAACTGGTCTGTTCCCTGACGTGCCTGCTCGTGTACACAGGTGAGAATGACAAGGAGCCTGTTCTTATAGAAAGGCCTTTCACTGCTGGTCGCATCCCCACCTGAAGCCCAGCCCATTACCTTTCTGGCGGGAAACTTTTTCTACGTGGCCGTTACCCTACTGAGCACCCATACTTCATTGCTGACCACATCCAGACTCCTCTAATTTCAGACTACCAGGAACATACCGGTGAGTTGCATTTCTAAAGTTGTGTCATCAACAAATTCTTACCAACTAGAATGAAGGCTTTCCATTAAAAAAAAAAGAAGAAAATGAAAAAAAAAATATCTACAAACTTTTGCATCCTCAAAGGCAACTGAGATGTAAGTCTGGCTTTAAATTAAAATATAGCTAAATATAGGACTTCCCTGGTTGTCCAGTGGTTAAGACTCTGCACTTCCACTGAAGGGGGCATGGGTTCAGTCCCTGGTAGGGGTAAGATCCCACATGCTGTGTGGCAAAATAAAAGTAAAATAAAATAAATAAATAAGTTAATACATGCAAAACTGTATTTAGCCCAAACTTAATTTTGATAAACCATTTAAGAACCCACTTCTTTCTAAATTTAGAACTGTCTGAGGATTGTTCTGTCTGGCTGTTTCTCAAAACTCAGTGGTAAAATTAAATAAGCTTCAAACATGTTAACATGAAAAATAGATGGAAGGATGCCTGAAGAGAAAAAACTCCAAGCCCGGAAGAAACAAGATTTCATTCCTGCTGCAGTACTGACATGCACTAAAATCTGTAATAGCAGCTAATTTGGTGGCATTGAGCAACAGTTGTTTTGTGACAATAAAATACCTTATCTGTCCATTTTGAAAGAGATTATTTCTTCAGTTATGAAGGAAAAGTCACATGGGCCAAAGCTTGTGTTTCATTTTACTGTTTTGTGCCTCTTCTTAAGGCTTCTAGGGCAAATGTTGACTTTGTTCAGTGTATCACAAAAAATTTAAGGTTGTTTCCCTGATACATGCATTTTTCTCGCTTCTATATATTAAAAAGATTTAAAAGATACCTAGTTTTGGTAATGCTGATAGTAATTCTTCATGATATGATTCTTTGATATACTAATTCTAATCTAAATTTGACTAATTTTTCTGCAGTAAAGTAGTTAATCTCTAAAAGTCAAAATGGACTCTTCTCATTGGGCACCTGACTGCCTCTGTAGGAAAAAACTAGGGAAATAAAACTTAAAAGCTTTGTGGTGATTTGATTAGCTTTCCATTTGTTTAAAAATAAGCAACGAGGCTTCCCTGGTGGTGCAGTGGTTGAGAGTCCACCTGCCGATGCAGGGGACACGGGTTCGTGCCCTGGTCCGGGAAGATCCCACATGCTGTGGAGCGCCTGGTCCCGTGAGCCATGGCCGCTGAGCCTGCGCGTCCGGAGCCTGTGCTCTGCAACGGGAGAGGCCACAACAGTGAGGCCCGCGTACCGCAAAAAAATAAAATAAATAAATAAGCAAGGATTCAAAAAATGCCACTCAGTTACCAGCTTTCCAGTAGCCCTGATGTTCGGGCTTCAGCTCAGGAGGAAAGGACTGTAAGGGGCAGCAGGCCCATGTCCAGTGTCCTGTGGTTTAGTGAGAGCTCTCCTTGGCTTATTGTGGTGGAAAGGAAGAGTGGAAGATTCTCATTCCATGTAGATTGCACTGGTGTTATTGCCTGGCCTGTGATATGCTGACTGCATGGAATTTAATTTATTTTAAAAACCACAAACACCAGAAACTATCACAACATTGTAAATCAACTGTACTTCAATTAAAAAAAAAAAAATGGAACACCTTCAGGGAAAAAAACCCCACAAAGATGAGTCTGAAAGATGGACATTTTTCTGTTGTTGAGCTATTGTTTTTTATTTCTGCCTCTTAACTTTTACTTTAATATCCTGTAACTGTTATTTCTTTTTGCCCAGTTCAAGAAACTTAAACTTGTTCCAAGTTTCTTCATTTATCTTGGAGTTATTATGTGGAAGACACCATTATAAGGAGATGCCATATGAACGTAACTCCAATTTAGAGGCAAGCCTCATGGGACAGTCGAGTCTCAACCTTCATCTCCTGAGTGGCGCTGGACACAGTGGCTCACTCCCTTCTTGAGATGCGTTCTTTACTTGTCCTGGGAAGCTGGCTTCCTGGCATCCCGCCTGGCCCCCTGATGGCCCCATCTTCTCTTTTGTTGAGCTCTCTTGGCCTGCATGGTGGAGCCCAGCACTCAGTCCCTGTCTGCACTTGGGTGGGCGCGCTGTTCTCGTGCCATCGGAAGCCAAGGGGCTATTCATATCTCTTTTTTTTTGAAGTATAGTTGATTTACAGTGTTGTACTAGTTTCAGGTGTACAGAAAAATGATTCAGATGTATATATTCTTTTTCAGATTCTTGTCCACTGTAAGTTATTACATGATATTGAATATAGTTCCCTGTGCTATACAGTAGGTCCTTGTTGTTTGTCTATTTTATATATGGTAGTGTGTATGTTAATCCCAAACTCTTAATTTATCCCTCCCTGCACACCCCATTCCCCCTTTGGAAACCATAGTTTGTTTTCTGTGTCTGTGAGTTTATTTCTGTTTTGTAAGTAAGTTCATTTGTATCATATTTTAGATTCCACATATAAGTGATAATCATATGATATTTGTCTTGCTCTGTCTGACTTATTTCATGTAGTATGATAATCTCTGGGTCCATCCATGTTGCTGTAAATGGCATTATTTCGTTCTTTTTCATGGCTGAGTAATATTCCATTGTATATATGTGTCACGTCTTCTTTATCCATTCATCTGTCAATGGACATTTAGGTTGCTTCCATGTCTTGGCTATTGTAAAAAGTGCTGCAATGAACCTTGAGGTGTATGTATCCTTTTTTTCTTTAAACAGATTTATTTATTTTTACTTATTTATTTTTGGCTGCATTGGGTTTTTGTTGCTGCGTGCGGGCTTTCTCTAGTTGTGGCGAGCAGGGGCTGTTTTTCATTGCATTGCAAGGACTTCTCATTGCGGTGACTTCTGTTGTTGCGGAGCACAGGCTCTAGGTGCACAGGCTTCAGCAGTTGTGGCACGTGGGCTCAGTAGTTGTGGCTCGGGGGCTCTAGAGCACAGGCTCAGTAGTTGTGACGCATGGGCTTAGTTGCTCCACTGCACGTGGGATCTTCCCAGACCAGGACTGGAACCCGTGTCCCCTGCATTGGCAGGCAGATTCTTAATCACTGTGCCACCAGGGAAGTCCCCTGCATGTATCCTTTTGAACCATGTTTTTCCTCTGGATATATGCCCAGGAGTGGGATTGCTGGATCATATGGTAAATCTGCTTTTAGTCTTTTAACAAACCTCCATACTGTTCTCCATAGTGGCTGTACCAATTTACATTCCCACCAACAGTGCAGGAGGGTTCCCTTTTCTCCACACCCCCTCCAGCATTTATTATTTGTAGACTTTTTATTTTATTTTATTTTATTTTATTTTATTTTATTTGTATTTGTAGACTTTTTTTTTTGTAGACTTTTTTTTTTTTTTTTTTTTTTTTCTTTTGCGGTATGCAGGCCTCTCACTGTTGTGGCCTCTCCCGTTGCGGAGCACAGGCTCCGGATGCGCAGGCTCAGTGGCCATGGCTCACGGGCCTAGCCGCTCTGTGGCATGTAGGATCTTCCCAGACTGGGGCACAAACCCATGTCCCCTGCATCAGCAGACGGACTCTCAACCACTGCGCCACCAGGGAAGCCCTTTTTTGTAGACTTTTGATGATGGCCATTCTGACTGGTGTGAGGTGATACCTCATTGTAGTTTTGATTTGCATTTCTCTGATTAGCCATGTTGTGCATCTTTTCATGTGTCTGTTGATCATCTTGATGTCTTCTTGGAGAAATGTCTGTGTAGGAGTTTTGCCGAATTTTTGATTGGGTTGTTTGTTTGTTTTTTTGATATTGAGCTATATTAGCTGTTTGTATATTTTGGAAATTAATCCCTTGTTGGTCTCGTGGTTTGGAAATATTTTCTCCCATTCTTTAGGTTTTGTTTTGTGGTGTTCATGGTTTCCTTTGCTGTGCAAAAGCTTTTAAGTTTCATTAGGTCCCATTTGTTTATTTTTGCTTATATTTCCATTACTGTAGGATATGGATCCAAAAAAACATTGTTGCAATTTATGTCAGAGTGTCCTGTCTATGTTTTTCCTCTAGCAGTTTTATAGTCTCCAGCCTTACATTTAGGTGTTTAATCCATTTTGAGTTTATTTTTGTATATGGTGTTGGAGAATGTTCTAATTTCATTTTTTACATGTAGCTGTCCAGTTTTCCCAGCAATGCTTATTGAAGAGATTCTTTTCTCCATTGTATATTCTTGCTTCCCTTGTCATGGATTAATTGACCATAAGTGTGTGGGTTTATTTCTGTGTCCTCTGTTCTGTTTCATTGATCTGTGTGTGTCTGTTTCTGTGTGAGGGGCTTCTTATTTCTAACTCTCTTGGCCACCACCTAAAAATCAAGGGCTTCTGGTTACACTCCCTCACTGGTTCTCTTGGCATCTCACTGCCCACTTCCTTCTGGTCCTTTCTGATAAACCCTCTGCATGTCTCCTAACCTTCTCACATTTCTCTTTCACCTCTTTGTTTAATCTTCTTCAGCCTCATTCTCATCTGAGAGTCACATCAGAATCATCTGTGGGTCCTGGGAGTTCCATGACAGGTTGAACATATGACTCAGCACATGCACTTCTGGGTCCATGTGTACTTTTACACAGATGTTCCAAATGGCATTATTTATAGCAGCCAGAAGTGGAAACAACCTAAATGGTGTTAGGATAAAGTGATGACTAGACCAACAGAAGGTGTTCTATCCATACAGAGGATAGTATTCAGCCACAAAAAGGGAGGAATAGTGGAATGAAGCACTGACACTTACAGTATGGATGAACCTTGAAAGCATTATGCTGAGAGAAAAAAAAGCCAGACGTAAATATTGTATGATTCTGTGTACTTGGAATGCCCAGAGCAGGCACATCTATAGAGAAGGAGAACACATTAGTGGTTGCCTAGTCCTGGAGGTGGGGATACCTAGAGAGTGACTGCTCATGGATCCCAGGCTTCTTTTTGGGGTGACAAGATGTTCTAAAATTCATTGTGGAGACAGTTGCACAACTGTTTGAATGTACCGAACCATTGAATTGTACACTTTGAAGGAATTGCATTGTATGTGAATTATATCTCAAGGGTTGTTACAAGAAAGGAAAGAATCATATGTGGAGTTTTTAAAAATTGTGCTGGGGCCTAACCCACCTCCCCTCCCCCTTCCCACGTGTTGAATACTTGACCCATTTGGAGCTGCACAGACAATTCTCAAGGCCAGTCTCATTGGACAGTCACTACCATCAGCCCTTTCTCTTGTCCCCTTGTCACCATCTGTGGTGGGAGTGCTCATTCCAGCCGTGTCCCAGGGTTATTACGCAGGTGGGTCAGGGCCCCCGGACAGTGGCTCTTACTCAGACATGCAGATTGTTCGGCTCAGTCTGTAGCCAAACCTGCGAGGTTGGGAACAACAGCCTTGTTGTGTCTGATTATTCAGCTCTCTGCAGCAGACTTCTACCCATGTGCATTAGGCTGCTGGGGCTGCCAGAGCACATACCCAGCCTGGGTGACTAAGACACACAAACTTATTTTCTCTCAGTTGTGGAGGCTGGACCTCTGAGATCAGGGTGTCACAGGCCTGGCTTCTCCAGAGGCTTCTTCCTTGGTGTGTAGGTGGCCGCCTCTCGCTGTGACCTCACGTGGCCTTTGCTCTGTGCAGGTGCATTCCTGGTGTCCCTTCATCTCTCAGATCAGCACCGCCCCCATTACTTTGTTCTTACTTTGATTACCTCACCAAAGGTCACGTCTCCAAGGACACTCATTTTGGGGTTAGGGCTTCAGGTTCGTCAGTGGCCTCCAGGTCGCCGAATTCCCTGGCTCTTCCACGTGTCTTTACTTCCGGGCAATGAGCGCTGATGGCTCTTTCCTGACTCTTCTCCTGCCTCTGCATCAGCATTTCCATTCCCTTTTAGCACATTTTCCCTATCTGTTTATGAACCATTTTTTTTTTTTGCATATTACTTGAAAAGAATAGCCAATTACTAATGAAATTTGAATAAATGGAATTAGAAAATTTTTCGTGATTGGATAACCTGACAATAATGACTTTATTATTTTAGTGAAAATTCGAAAATTTAATAAAGCCAAGCCACAGCCTGATGTACTTGAAGAAGAAAAAATCTATGCTTACCCCAGCAATATTACCTCGGAGACTGGATTCAGGTAAGTGTGGAGTAAAAGATTAGTGAAAGAAATTTAAAAGTTTATTCCATCTGGAAATCTAGAGGCCATTCTGATACTTGGAGTTTAGGACTCTGCATATGTTAAAATATGTTTACAACTATGTTTGATTTGTTTACTTCCTCTCAGCTGTGGTGAAACCAAGTCTAAAGAAAGAATCTCATTTGGGGATATTGCCTTGGCTTATAAAATCTAAGAAAAAGTAACAGATATAACCTGCTGTACTGAAAACTAGTAGAGATCCATTTGCAAAGAGACTTTTGGTGAACATGTGTAACTCATGAATACCTTGGTTCTGTGCAGGACTCTCTCAAGCCTGGAAGAGATTGTGGAGAAGCAAGGAGACATCATAGTGTACCTGAAGCGGCACAATGCCCTGCTCAGCCAGCGTCTGCTGGCCTTCACGTCCTCTGACCTCAGCTCTCAGCCAAGTGGGATTTGACAGCAATTCCAAAGGAGCCAGAGTAATTTAGACTGACCGGCTACCTGACAAGCTGTCTTAGGGAAATGCAGCTTTGACAAGTAACATTCTACAATTTCTGTTGGAAACCTGAATTTGGTTCTCACCTGTGTGGCTGTTTAATAAGTTGGACTCACGGATCATTTGAAAGACACTTTGTAGCGCCTCGCGAACTCAAGGGGAATGTCTGTTTTGCGCATTTTGAAATTATTTAACTGCCTGGTTTATCCTAGGATCAAAGGTATAGATTAAACATCTCCTTGACCAGCACTTCTTCCATACTCATTGGGACCTGGTAATAATTTGGCTTTTTATAGAGGAAGTCTGAAATGACAACCTATTTAAAACTGGGCTTGAGTTTTTCCCACATTTATACTGGTGGGAGAAGTCATCATTTCTCATGGTTAGTGTTTTTTCCCATGGAGCCTTATGTATTTTATATGCTTGTGTGGTATTGGATAGCCTTGGCCCTTATAGCTTTTATAATAATTTCGTCACTGTAGGACCAAGGTCTCACTGGATGATTTACTTTGCAGCCCCTACAGGTTTCCATTCTCCAGAAATAAGATTTGAAGATTACCTGGACCAGCATTAGACCGACCAGTGCTGCCTGTGAAAGCAGGAGCGCCTGCCATTGGCAGCAGCTGAAATAGTTAAGAGAAGACTTCAGGCTTTCTCTTTATTTTGGCCCTTCTTTGAGAGGTAGCCATGTATTTCAGTATCGACTGTCTTTGGATCAATAAGTTCAGTGATAGGAAAGGGGTCTTCTGTAGCTTTAAGTTTGAAAGAAAAAAAGAATATGTTTTTTAGTCTTGGATTATACTTAAAAATTATGATGAAAAAATGTCATATCAGCTTATATATAGATATTAAACATATCTAATTCTCCAGATAAAATGAAGCATATTTATGAGTAAATGGCATTTTTTCTCCAGTTTTCCTAGCATGCCCTTTTCACATATCAGTTTGCTTTTGGCACCTTTACATGCTGCCTCAGAAAGTCTTCTGTGTGAAAGCTTAACGTAAGGGAAGGGGATATGTGTGATTATGTATGCTGCTGAATTTTTTTTTTATTTAGCTGAATAATCAATATTTGGTTTAAAAATCCTTGGGCTATACATAACTATTTGGCAAGGGATGTGTTCATTGAGTCATACCATACATCTGAAGGGCAAACATCTGTTTCCTTTAGATACAGCCATTGCGGAGCATTCTCAAGGTTTTCTGCTGAGGTCAAGGTGATTGTGTGTCACCTGTAGTCAATACCATTGAGTCCCCAAATTGAAAACATTCACAAACTGAAGCCAAAATTGTATTTTTAAAGTTAAGATTGTATCCAAGTTTCCTGACTTTTCCTTCCTCTCTTTTTTTCTTTTTTCCTTCCTTTTTAATATGTCTCAAAGCCATTGCCTTCTGTGGAAACCTGTCTCTATGTTCTGGAAGAGCTTTTGCCTTTAGCTGTTTTCCTTAGGGAAAATACATGTGGTAGATGATTAATTCTCATTTACTTTTAAATTCAGTTTGGATCTACAGTCAGTTTCTAAGGTTTATGTGATGAACATTGGTTTACAGAGAAAGGTCTAGTTAAAAAGTTAGAATACTCAAGTTCCGATGGGCTGTCTGTATAATCACCAACACTCTTTTCTAAACTCAGTACTGAACATTTCAGGGCTTCCCTGGTGGCGCAGTGGTTGAGAGTCCGCCTGCCGATGCAGGGGACACGGGTTCGTGCACCCATCCGGGAGGATCCCACGTGCCACGGAGCGGCTAGGCCCGTGAGCCATGGCCGCCGAGCCTGCGCATCCGGAGCCTGTGCTCCGCAACGGGAGAGGCCACAACAGTGAGAGGCCCGCGTATGGCAAAAAAAAAAAAAAAAAAAGTTAGGATACTCAAGTTCCGATGGGCTGTCTGTATAATCACCAACACTCTTTTCTAAACTCAGTACTGAACATTTCAAACAATAAAAGAAAATGAAAGAAAGGAATGAACAAAACAATTTAAATGTTAATCATTCTGCGCACCAAGTAGATACTGTGCTAGCACCATGGATACAAAAATTAATAAGACAGTCCTAGCTTGTAGCTTACATTCTAAGGAGAGGACTGGGATTTCCGGGCTCTGTGAAGCCCGGAAATGCTCTGTGAAGCATTTCTAAGTGAAATGATGACACTAAGCCCAGAGTGCCATAGGGGCTACGGCTCAGAGAGTTTCCTGGGGGGAAAGGCTCTAGGTATTCCAGGAAAATTTATGAGTAAACAAGAAGGTCGAACAGCTACAGATGATCATCTGCACTGTGTATAGCTTGAGCCCAAAGGGTGGTGCTGGACATGGGAGGAGGAACGACCAGTGACAGATTCTGGGGACCCTAACACTCTCTAGGCCAAGGGGCCTCCATTGGAATGGGGCCCACTGAAGGGTTCCAGGCAAGGAAGTGGCAGTCGGTTTTAGTTTCAGAAGGATCAGACTGCCAGTGTGGTGTAGGAAAGTGGGTGGCAGAGTATATGGCGCTGAACTAGGGCAGGTAAAGTAACATTTTATCATGGGTATATATGTATATATCTGTATTGTATTTCTATATTGTTAATTTGGGGATTTTATTTCAACTGACAATAGCATCATGACTTACTGAATTTCTTTGAATACTAATGAATTAGAGCTTTTTTCCCCATATTCTTTGGCCTTTTACAAATCTTTTGTGATGTACATGTGTAAGTCTTTTGCTTATTATTCTCCTGGGATATTCTTTTTCTAACAAACATCTTCTTTTATATATAAGGATAGTCTTCAGTTTATATTTGTTGGAAATATTTTCTAATTTGTTTTGGGTTCTTTTGCCACGTACTCTTCAAACACTACAGCCTGGATTCTTTCCCCATAGCACCAGTGGAAAGTTCACACAAGTGAATTCCTAAAGCCACATCAGGTGAGAGCCAGCAGTGTTTGAGGGAATTTTAATATACCCATGCTTGGGAATTCTCTGGCTGTCCAGTGGTTCGGGTCAGGGAACTAAGATCCCACAAGCTTCGCAGTGCAGCCAAAAATACACACACACACACATGCGCACACACACACACACACACACACACACAGAGGCTTCTGCTGGAGGCCGTTTTTCTTCATATGAATTGAGTTATTTCTTTTTCCTTTTTTCTCTAAGGCAGGGTTCTCTAACCTTGGCACTATGGACATTTTGGGTGGTATAATCTTTGTTATGGTGACTGTCCTGTGTGTTGTAGGATATTTAGCAGTATTTCTGACTGCTAGGATGCCTGTAGCAACCTCCAGTTGTGACAACTAAAAATGTCTCCATACACAGGCATTTCATTTCATTTAATACTTAACGTTTAGTTGAGAGCCGGTGTGCACCAGAGAACAGGGGTCAGTCAGACAGAGGTGGTTTCTGTTCTCATGGAACCTACATTCTCGTGGTGGGGTTGGGGCATGACCGGGGGGAGGAAGTGAACACAGCAGACAGACAAGCCAGTATCGGGATTGAAGAATACAATTCTCCTTCTGTAAATTAGGCCTCATGGAGATTCTGATGTTAATATGACTTATGGAAAGAATTTAGCTTCCATGTTCTGCAACCATTCAGAAAACAGAATGGCAAACCAAATGAACTTTACGTCCTCTCCCCATCCTTTTTACAGAAGACACTGTTATTTGGTAATCTCGCAAACTGATCAGAGATGCTCTTGTGAGCCTTGAATACAAAACTCCCATTTGTTAGCCTCTTGAATTCTTCAGGAAACAAACCTTGAATATATGCCAATCACAAATCACAAAAATTTCAAAACGTTTCCTAGGTTTCCTAAGGAAGGTTGTTTATTTGTAAACCACGTAAGCCTGTCTCTAATTCTTCCCCTCGCAGCCTCTCTTGTCTGGCCCAGCTTTTTGTCCTGCTGTTCCACTGGAACATCTTATCCAGGCCAAGGGTAGGATACCTCTTACCAGGGCTGAGTGCCCTCCTCAGCCTGCCTGCACCCTTCCTCTCAGTTGCCCACTCCCTCCTTGATTGATTTTCTTTACTCTGGCTTCCAGGACACTGCGGCCTCCTGGCTTTCTTCCAGCCACAGTGGCCTCCTGTCCTGTCTCCTTTGCAGCCTCCTTTTCTTGGTGTTAGTGTCTCCTGGGCCTCTTCTCTCTCCATAGGCACTCGCTCTTGCTGACCTCATGGCTATAGCGCAGTGTACAAGCTGGCCACTTCCAGATGTGTCCTCCCTGACCTCCAGATGTGTATATGCTGCTTCTCTTCTAGATCTCCACTGCAACGACTGAATGGCATTTTGCAAAGGTGAGCTCTCCTCCACAGCCTTCTCTATCTCCACGGGGATCGCTGGCTTTTCCTTTACCGTAGAGTCAGACTCCATCACCTTCACATGGATTGTTGCAATAGTCTTTTAAGTGGTCTTTCAGATTCTAACCATCACTCTTCCCCCTGCCCCTATCCCCCGCCATCACAAGCATCAGTGTTTAGTGTAGCTGCCAAAGAGATCTTTCTGAAACACATTTGACATAGCGTGTTACTCTGAGGTTTCCCTAATCAGTAAAATCCCAAGTCCCTGGCAGTGACCTCCAGGGCTCTAGAAGATCAGCTCCCACCCACCTCACCTCTTTCTGCTCCTTCACTTTCTCTGTTTCAGTCACATTGTTGTTTCTGGACTCTGAGACACGTCCCCACCTCAGGACCTTGCACCCCTGTTCCCTCAGCCTGGAATGACCAATTCCTAGGTAACTTTACCTCCTTCAAGTCTTTATTCATGTCTCTTTCTCAGTGAGGCCTCCTCCCCACTCAGCCCCTTCTATCTCCCTTACCTTAGGGGTTCAGAATATGTCATCTCAAAATATGTCACTTTGGCATATTGGTTATTTTGAACAAAAGTTACTTGAGGAACATCCACTACAAGAAGTAAACTCTTGGAACTTCCCTGGCAGTCTAGTGGTTAAGACTGCGCTTCCACTGCAGGGGGCATGGGTTCAAA